GTGTGTGTGTGTGTGTGTGTGTGTGTGTGTGTGTGTGTGTGTGTGTGTGATAATTGTATATATAATAATTGTAAGTGTATTACAATATACATATTACAATAACATTATTATTACAACAAATTACATTTTAGTTTTAACTTCTTTACGAATATAATTTTGAAATTACATCAATGATCAATTTTTAATATTAAAAATATAAATAATGAAAGCTCTATTAGAAAAACTTTCTCTCTGTTTAAAAAAATTTTAATGTTGATATATTTTGTATTATTATATAAAAGAAGCGACAAACAGATATGAAACAAAAAAATTTTAATATTAGTTTTGTAATGTAAGTAAAAATATTCACATTGTTTTATCTAATAAAAACAATATAGATACGGTTTCATATAATTACTATATTATTGTTTGTAGATTAGTTGATAAATTGTATATATCAATTATATAAAAGTTTTCTGAAATGCTTAAACATTTTGATATCCTTTATTAATTTATTATTTTAATATTTTGAGTAATATATCGAGTAACAACACTATTTCTTAAGAAAAATTATTCTCTTGACAACTTTTTTTACGTTTCTGTTGTACTTTTAACTTTAAAAAATACTTTTAAAAATTCTCTAAAACTACGACAATAATAACAAAGGTCAAAAAACAGTATTGAATGTATATTCTGGAATAACACTTAGCGTTATTGAATATATTTATAAATTGTCATTGAAATAGATTTTCCTTGAATTCTATGTAGCCTATCTATTCATATACAATGCTCGCCAAAAATTCCGGGCCGGCTGAATATCTCGGAAAGCATGTATTTTGGAGAAAAATGTTTCAGACTCGAGAGTATATTTGATTAATAACTCAAATACTTTGTTTTATAATTATATGCCTGTTTACAATTTACGCATACAGCTCATACGCACATATGTACTTTACACGGTGAAACTATTGTGTCGTCCACCACAGTACCGAGTTCGGAATCCAGTGATGACTCCGGGATGCGGTGATGAATCCGGGATTAAATCTCACGAAGTTATATTTATAATAAAAAGAATTTAATAAATATTTCTTTACACACAATCAGATCTTGATTGATAACAACTTACCTTAACACGTAACGCGTCGCGGTTATACTATTTTATTCTGAACAGTGAACGTACAGATTTACGTGACTCTCTTTTAGAACGATTGATCTTCGCCAGTTTTTTTTTTTGGCTTCGTTTTATATCTTATATATATACTTCTGCCAGCTGCTATGTATTATTATGTAATATTAAGAATATAAGTAGGGGTAATGGCCGGTTCTAACTTAGGTCTTCTGAAGGGAGCGCGGGGAAAGGCCCTGGGAAGGTCCTGGTGGCATCGCTGCTTGCATAAACATAAATGTACACATAAACATACGCATAAACATACGCATATACATACGTTTATATATACGTTTATACATACGTTTATACATACGTAAGTATTAAACGTATATATGCATAAACATACGTATGCATATTAAGTACTTACGTATGTAGATATATTCAATATTGCGTATCTTATATTTTGCGGAATGCTGAATTGGATCTCTTATGGTCGCAGACGTTCTCTCTCGCATCTTCGTCGTCTCTCAGCCTTCCCGCACTGCTTGTATGCTACCGATTTACTTGTTCACTACTATTGTATTCAGTTTTGTATTCAATTTCCAATATTAATGTATCTTAAATTTATGCTACGTCATGTTACGTTGTTTTTATTCTGTAATCTTCTGTAATTTTCGTACTATTTATTGTAAATTTATGTTTTATGTTCTCTTTGGCGCTTTTTCACGTCCTCCTCAAAGAGAAGAAGACCGTTATAGAACCGGTCTATTACCTCTACTTATATAACGGTCTTTTACGGATTGATTGCGTAATTAAGTCTTTGTAATACGCCTTTTATACTTTCTTTAAACAATTTTCAAAATTTATATTTACAATCTCTTTAATTTTTGCTATCTAGTCGCTACATATTTCTCTATTGTGCAATGGCACTCCTGACGCATACTGATCTTAAAAGAATCAACTTGCTATATTCGGGAAACGATTAGATTGGAAAACCCATTGTTTTCTCTAACTAGTAAAAAGTAA